AACCCCTCAGAACTCACCCCAATAATGTGGTGTTTGTACTATTTAAATAAATCAATGCATGCTTTGCACAAACATGCACAAACGTTTCCAGCAAAAAATTTCTTACCAGCAATTTTCAACCACCCTCTTCATACGTCATCCCTTCCTCCTCCAATCCACCAAAGAATCAATTATTCCAGGCGAATGCCAACCTCTCAAACACCACCCCAATAATAGACTTGGTGTAGTGTAGATCCACAAGTATGATCAAATATGCATGCATATTTGAAGGTGTCCATGGAATTGCAATGATATAATTTACCATTCCAGGGGGTGGTATCATATACGTCAGTCTTTCATACAAAAACATATTCCACTCAAGATTATTCCTGAAGTATTACTCTGGCATTTAACACCTCTCCGCCCTCGAATGAATAATTACTGTGCCCCCCCGTGAGAAACACTTAGAAACACCCAATGACAATAACACACCTCGTCATGTTGGGCAGCAAACACGGCAGCACTTGGAGCTTCTGAGCTCTACTATATAACTGGGGCCTTCTCAATCTGAGTACGGATGGCGATCTTGTTCAAGGCCACCTTGGCACGTGGTCCAAACAAAAGCGGATGCAACCGTGGAGGTTTGATGAGTCAAATCGCTGGAGGACATCCGAGCCAAATGCATCACGCAGATTCTGGTCGAGCGAAAGATCATGAACTCGTGGCGGTTCAAACAAAAGGACACCCTTGTTGACGCCGGGAGAGACGGATTCCCAAATGCTTTTCATTTAAAACATGTCGACCTTACTACCATGGTTTTGTGGGGAGAGGTTTTGACTCACAGCCACAAAGTTTGATAAATTAAAGATGGAACAAAATGGAACAAATGGTTTGGTGGGGTAGCTCTTGACCCTCAGTTCTCGCTACCGCGCAAACCGGAGCCCCACAGAATCCACCACAGAGCCAGGCGTGGCTGGGGCCCAAGAATGAATAGTTATATCCACTACCAGTAAAAGTGTTTGATGTTGGCTAGTAGAGACCTTTCCACTACCGACTGTTACTGGTAATATGACGCACGACGCACCCTAGATGTGAAAAGCATTGAACAGCAACTGGGTTTGCTGTTGGAGGGCCTCTTTCAGGCCCCAAAAAATCTTGCTTGGTAGGTTCTTGAGTAGAACTGTTTGCTCAGGGTTCGGCAGTGGTCATGCTTACTACTCGTTGATCAATGTCTCGCAAATATAGCAGCTCTGGTTGACATTTGCACAACATTGGAGCTTGTCTCCCTGTCAAGTTCGTGGAAATCAAACTGCACATCGCAAAACCAATGGCACGACCAATACTGCGGATCAGGCACGCCCGTACAGAAGAAAATTGAAATGGAGACTTACAGGGCGCCAGTTGTCTTTTGAGGGAGATTTTTTTTTTTGTGAGAGCAAAGGCTTCTTCCTGCGCCCTCTGAAACAAAACACATTCACTATATAACAACCATGACTCGATGCTTTGCCAACACAGCCGCCAAGCAACTTGTATCGAGACCATTGGTGGGTTCATTGCATTGCACTCCCTGAAATCATCATGGAAGTGGATGGCATGGCCCCTTTCGATGACAATTTTCCTCGACAAACAGGGTGGTTTTCCACTTCCATTGTTATTCCAGGCTTGCTAATTAAAAAGCACGCCATGGGCAACACGACAAGACACTTCAAGTCTGGGGGTTGTAGAGTCTGATGGAAAGAAAACAATAGACATTAATAGGGTGATTTGGTTTTGCGTGTCAGGCTTTTTCTGCTTGAGAACAACATGTTTACTGTGGAAGGTCCTAAGTACAAAACACCCAATCGCGCGGCTTTCTTTTCCTCCGCACTCCAAAGAATCACCACACTCTCACGGGAAATATCCCAAGAGGAGGACCTAGGACCTACAGCTCAAAATGATCAAGACATGTCAAGACATAGCTCCTTGGACATGCATGGTTCTTCAAGAAGCTTGAAGTTGGACGTTTCCACCCCTCGCTCACTCGCAGGTGCGACATGTAGAGCATCCTGACGTGGTCAACCGTTTTCAAAAAGGTCTTCGAATCAGGTAGTCCAAAGTGTGTCAAACCCAAAACCTACAGGTCCAGTCTGACCCAGTAAAACCTGGTCCTGAAAAATACTTGTTGAGGAGTGTCTGATCCAGTATAATGACATTTCTGACCCGCTACGGGCAACAAAAATAACCTGATACCCCCTGATACTGTCGATACCCGATGTCAAAGAGACAGAAAAAGAGAAAACACATGAAACAAACCATTCCCACATACGAGTACCAACCTGGACAGTGGCTCCCTTGACAACAGCGAGCGACCAAACCTGTTCAATGGTTCTTCGAATACCTTGTTGTCATATGGGTACAGTATGTCAATAGGGAGACACCTGCCAATAGGTTTTGGCATCTTTTGGTCAACTATGAAGAATAGCCTTTGCTCACAGTCTCCTTTCAAGCTGGCTCATGTTGGAAAACTGTACTAGATGTGCCAATGGATTTCCAAGCTGGGCTTTAAACAACAAATTGAGACGAATGCTGCATCCTTTCCGTAGCTTAGTTGAAGAGCTGCTCTTTCCAAATACTCTCGCTTTGGGTGGAATTTCGATCCTTTCTTTCTGGGATGTACTGGTCATTGACCAGCTGCGGCAGTGCCATTGTCATCCTTCTCCGGAGATCAAACAAAAAAACGTGCTTTCCGAAACCCCTTAGGGGGCCCTGTAGATGTACCGGCTAAATACTTGACACATTGAGCTTCCATTTTGCAGTTGCGCAAGATGTCAGCATTCACCGTCATAACAATATCAGTTCACGAACATCCCCGAATGCCGGTCGACACCCGGTCGACCTATCTTCACCAGGGTGAAACACCCTCCCGCCTCGGACCGGGGCCCGGGACAAAAAGTCTCAAAAAGAAACCTTCGCAAGGGAACATGTTCCTGCACCCCAAGCAAACATGTCTCTTTCAGGAAAACCAATTATGGTTCGATATTTACTCGCCTTCATCTCTTTCACTGCAAACGACCGGGACCTGGTTCAAACCGACCGAATGCTGGCCTGGCTTCGTCTCGAACTCCCAGCGAGCGAATGCTGGCCTGGCTTCGTGGAAGGAAATGACTCGAATTCGGTGGAACTACCAGAAGAACTAAATGAGATCATGCAGAACTGGTGCTCAACTTTCGCACAAGGGACCGCTGAAGTCTTGTGGGGACGTTTGGTCAGAAGGATCCCAATTTGGAAAGTTGGCCAGAAGGTCTTTTGAAAGGCGTTTAGTACTGCAGGATAAAGTTGCCCCAAAGTAATAGGTGGAGTTCTTAATCCACAGTGGTTGCATTACTATCTACCAGTTCACCGTAGTAACAAGAAGCTACTTGAGAGAGGAGGGGGTGAACGAAAGGTAGCAGGCAATCACAAGCAACCCTGGTAAAAGTCCATGACGGCGTGAACCGGAGCAGGGGGGATTTGATCGGGGGGCCCCCCCCCCCCCGAGGAACAGAATCAACTCTTACAGGACCAAACTCAATGCACAATCCCAACTCCTGATTGTAATACATTTTTGCTAAAGCAAGGAGAACTCAGGTAGCTCAAGCTACCTTTCGTGACTAGGGTGGAGACCAGGGTGGAGGCCTTTGCTACTAGTTGGAGGCCATCGCTACTACGGTGGAATACGGTGGAGGCCATTGCTAGTAGGCTGGAGGCCATGGCCACTAGGGTGGAGGCCATCGCTACTACGGTGGAATACGGTGGAGGCCATTGCTAGTAGGCTGGAGGCCATCGCCACTAGGGTGGAGGCCATCGCTACTAGTAGCAAGAAACTACAATGCCAATGGTTACGTTTTGCATCCTTGAACAAAGCAGTTTGGGTATACTGTGAAACCGGGTGGACCACAAATTCTGTGGGCATTCCGGATGGGCCAGCTTAGAATCTAAGGTGTGTCAGGAACAAATAGCTTCTAGCTACTAGTAGTAGTGCTAGGAGCTACTAGTAGCTTCTTGCTCCAAGTAGCGATGCCCTTTGTTAGTAGTAGCTTCTAGCTACTAGTCCAGAAAATAAGCACAAATGTCACTGTCTGGATTTTGCACCTCAAAACCACGCGTTGCTTTTCAGAAGTGACGCTTCACGCCACTCGCCCCTTGCGTGACATTGGCAGTGCATGGGCGAATGACGCCTCACACCCACTCACCGGAGCTATAGCTCCGGTCGGATGTGATTTTTTTTCTACGGGTTGGTAGCACCTGCCGTTGTGTCTTCCAGCCGACCGTCGACATCCATTGAACGTCAGTCCTTTCCGTTGAGGTTTCCTTTCTGTTTCAACGGTCGACACGCAGGTCCTTCCCAACTCCATCTGCATGTTCTGCATTAACCCTTCAGAAAAGAACAGCTGGCCGATGCTGGCTAGCACGCTAGCCGCAATGCAATATCTTGTTGGCGAGGCCCATCAATGAGTTCTGTCAGAGTATATCATGCGCACCCAAAGTCAAAGCCATAATATGTATCATATATAGAAATTATTAAATCAATAAATATATGTATATACATTACTAATTATATTGTGTTATTACTTGTATTATTTGTTTTTGGCGTATAGGGGTTCGCTTTTTTGAACCTGCCGCCCTGCCGAAGTAGGGGGCACTGTCACTCCAAGTTGAATCTGGGCCTCACCGAAGGAATTATCCTTAAAACGGTTCCGCAATCAAGTGCAAAACGATCACATATGATCACGATCTGCACAAATGAATAGGAGTGGAGATGTTTAAAAATGCCTAGCGAGCCACTACCCCCCTTGCTGCTCAGGCCTCCGCATCCACTCCCTAACCACTCGCAGCCTCATCAGCAACCTGGGTTGCAGGATTCAACAAGTTGCCGCTTACTAGCTACACACTGGCTACTCACTAGCCTGTCCGGTGCCAGAGAATCAAATTGTACCAAAGCATGCAAGGATTTCACTTTGGATTTTGCAGGGGCTGGGGGGGTGGTTTGTGGGGGAGGTCTGCTGGAACCTTATGTGCTCGGACAGGTTAGCAGTCCACAACTCACGGTCATGTGAGTCATAGGCCCGCAGAAGGACCAACTACTCGCTGTATACACCCACTCCGACTGGATCCAGGCGTAGATCCATTCGAAGAGTTCTGCAGATCTCACTTGTCGACCTGAGCCGTCCCAAAACATCCCAGCCACATCTGTTGGACTTCCTCCCAGTCTTAGACTTCTTGGCGTCGGTTTCGGAAAGAAAAAGAAGTCACGCGCGTGTAGCGAACGAATGCAAGCTCTGGTCTGCATGGGACCCCGAAACTGGGTGGATGCTTCCGAAGACCATTCAACAACGGACCAAACCGCTGTTCGGCGCTGGAACCGCGACGCGTGTTTCAAAACCCGACTGAACGCGACCCGCGCCTGCCAGGTGCCCAACAAGCGAATCACTCGATCGTGCGAGCCAGACATGTTGGCCTCCTCTGCAAAGTCCAAGGCAGTCCGCCCGAACGAACTTTCCTGGGCGAAAACGTTCCAGGTGTCCACGGATTTTAGGGTGAGATTGGGTGAGAGAAACAGCCTGGTTGAGGCATGTTGGAGCTGGGGTCTTGATTGAACGACACGCAAAGAACATGTGCCCATGTTCTTTGTCAACCCCACTCTTTGAGCAGGTCTCTGATTGATGATTGATCTCAAATCAATCTCGTGTGCTGCCTGTTTCGTTCACAGAAAGTGCGAGGCCAAAAGGTGAAGGAACTCCGCAAGTCATTATAGACAAAGCCAGTTCACAAAACAGTTTGACCACAAATCACAAGTCTTGCTACCCTCCACAACTAACATGGATCCTGCAAAATCAAATGGGCTCTAAAGAAAACCATCTTGGAATTACACTCCGAGTCACAAACATAGAAGTGGAAAACCACCTGTTTGTAGCGGAAACTGGTCATCCAAGGAACCATGCCATCCACTTCTGTGAATTTTTCAGGGAGTGTAGTCTTTGGGTCCGTCTTAGTTAGTTTCTTATCTTTTAGGTGGCGGGTGCAATCTGCAAAGCTTGCATTCCTGCAAAGTGTCTTTCCTCGGGTCCACGCGAGCCTCCAGGAGAATCTCCACGAGTTCATCATCACCGTTCATCGCAGCAATCTCACCAGGGTTTCGTGAGGCGACCGTGTGGAGGAAACCTGACTCCGATGACTCCTGATTTGCCTGTAATTATCAAAAAGCCAAGTGAACGAGAGCAGAATGGGCAGATTGCTGTACTTTTAAACATGCTTTAAAAGAACTTGAGGAACCCCGCTTCGGACAGGTTCAATTCTGTTCATGATCAAACTAGATCTAATGATCCATCTCCGTCAGCAATTCTGACTAATCTTTCAATCCCAAAAACGGCCTGAATGGGATACACGGTCTCTCCTCGAACGCAGCCCAACCAGGCCAAACGCCCCGGACGAGCAGTATTGGCACCGCGAAAGCCATTGGCTCGCAAGAAGGACCTGGATTGCGAAGGATTCCGTGTGATCCTTTGGAAAGTTTTGGGGGGTTGATGTGGCAAAGACCAATTCAGAAAACTGAAAGTTGTTGGCAACAAACATGAAGAGAAGTGCTTCACTGGGTTCCAAGTTATGTCAGAAACATCAACAGGCTGCAATTTGGGGGTATTCATCCACAGGTTGCAGCAGTGCCTTTCGGTCTCAGTTTTTCAGGGTGTGTTATTTACGCAGAACAATGATTATCTTTTGCCAATGTCTTTCCACTTCCTGCAAGTTCCGAAAGAGACTTAGCAGTGGTGCATTCCAAGGAACTTCATGTAGAGATGTCGCTTCAAATGCCTGGTGCGGGAATCTCCAGCAGACATGTCACGCTCACAACCAAATGACCTGCTGGTGTTGGTCTTCCCTTGCTCGCAGCCTGATGCGAAGACACCTTGCCCGCGGCTGGTGGCTGGTGTAGAAGTGCCCCTTTCAAAGCTGACTGAAAGTGCGGAGAGATCTTTGTCCATTGCAGGTGCAAAGTGTCCATCAACAACTGCTGCAGTTGCAGGCACACCTTCGGCAGGTGTGAAGAGATCAGGGAAATTGTTTCCGGCAGGTGCTTGAGAACCATTGGGCAAACCCACGTTTTCAAAGACCAGCTCGTCATCCGTGTGACACATGCCGAAACACTGCTTCCAGCCGCCACCTGCTAAGTTGGCACTTGAGCAAAACTCCGAACAACACCGACAAGGATCAAGATCAGGGCTTACACCGATCTCTCACAGGATCGCATAAATATACAACAATATGAAAATAATTGATACAGTATATATGTATATACTTAATTATATTTATGTATATTCTTATCATCACATTAGTCAAGTGACCACAACCTTCCAACATATGTTCTTCTCACACCAGGGTGCACGTCTTGAAAAAAAACAACGTGCAAAACTGATTCAGATGGGCCATTCAGACTCACTGCAACTGTAGGAGCCTCATCAAGGATAGACTGACTTCTCTAGTGCCCGAAACTCCTAGCTGCATGCAGTGGTGCTTGTCAAGCTCCCTAAGTCGATGGCATGGAAATATCCATTCTCACAATTCCAAGCATGAGAAGAAGCACAGTCCGAGTGTGTTGGAATTTACGAATTCCGAATACTGACGAACATTCATTGATCAGGAATGATCAACTCCGGTGTTGTCTAGAGGAAGAGTCTCAAGCATGGTGGACTTGAGGCAAACCCCAGTTACTTCTGAAAGGTTGCAGTGCAGCGATTCAATTCTCCCGTGAAGCACCGGGTGGATTTGTCCAGGAATGAGGGGGAAAAGAACCTCTTCCCCAGTTTCCGGAAAAAACACAGATTCACCCTAGAGCCTCCTGGCCGTACTACTAGATCTACTATAGTAACAAGAGACTACTAGGGGTTCCTGGCCAAAACAGGACTCGGATTGCAACCTCCCGATGTAACTCACTAATGCTCACTATACGATTGCAATTCAATCGACTGCCCGCAGAAGAACGTCCTTTTGGGCCTCTCCCAATTGGGTGGTTTGTCCAGAATGCACCGAACATTAAGGCACCAATGCCGGCACTCTATGGTGTCTGGGACACAAGTACACAGCTACAGCTCTTACCGCTCATGGATGGATCTGGATCTTCGTGATCTCCACGCCCATCATGATCGGCAACCCAACTACTTCATGCATTAACCTTGGTTTTTCCATCCCAAACTCCGCGAAAAACTGAGGAACCCGACGAACACTCTCCAGAACCTTCGCGCCGTCCAAAAGCGGGAGTTCAGGGTGAACGGAAACGGAAATCATTAGGAACCAGGCTAAAATGATCCCGATGACCCATCCATTTGGCGCTAGGGGGCTTGGCAGATGTCGGAACGACGAGGAACGCTGCTGGACCATTTGTTTTGGTCTGGGACTTATCTTTAGGGACTTTAGGGACTTATATAACTACCATACAGATCAACAAGAACTTTTTATTGCGCATCAAGCCATTCCTATCCTTTTTCTTTAGACCCTTGTTCCGCAAACAGTGTGGGCACACTGAGGGGTTCTTACGGCAGTGAAAAGCAGGTGTGCTTAGATCGCTGTTCCGCGGGCGTGTCCGGCTAATTCGCTGCTATTTACAGTACATTCATGCATTTCAAAATCGTCAATGTGCATTTCGACTGCGCAGGCTCGCAGAATCTGGGGGCCGGCGGCGGGTGCTTCTAGCGACTGCGCTCTCGTTGTGGTGCCGTGCAAGGCAAACCTCGTGTTTTGGTGCTCCAAAGCCGACTTTTCGTGACAGGCGCAAGGGATCGGAGCTGTTTTACTTCGAAAGGCAATTTTCGTGGCAGGCGCAGCACTTTGGACCTGGTGGTCATCGTCGAAGAGCTCTGATTTCGTGCCACGTGCAGTGAATCGTGACTTTTGGACATGTGGCTCGTTTGCAGATTTCGTGACAGGCGCAGCACTTTGTGGACCTCGATGCGCAGATTTCGTGACAGGCACAGCACTTTGTGAACCTCGCCGCGCAGGGTCGCAGCACTTGTGGTGACCTCGAAGGGCAGATTTCGTGGCAGGCACAGCATTTGGCACTTGGTGAACCTCGAAGTGCAGATTTCGTGGCAGGCACAGCACTTGGTGAACCTCGAAGTGCAGATTTCGTAGCAGGCACAGCACTTGCTGAACCTCGAAGTGCATTTCGTGGCAGGTACAGCACTTGGTGTACCTCGAAGTGCAGATTTTGTGGCAGGCGCAGCACTTTGTGAGCCGCGAAGTGCAGATTTCGTTGCAAGTACAGCACTTTGTGAACCTCGATTCCTCGATGTGAAGATTTCGTAGCAGGCACAACACTTTGTGCTCTCAGATGCTCACTCTCTCACTCCCTCACTCTCACTCATCTCACTCACTCACACACGCTCACACCCACACTCACTCTTCACTCACACTCACACTCACACTCACTCACACTGACATTCACATTCACACTCGCTCTCACTCACACTCGCACTCACACTCACTCACCCTCACTCACACTCACTCTCATCCCCACTCACTCTCGTTCACACTCACTCTCACACTCACTACCGTCACCACGATCCCCACCTTCATCACCACCATCACCTCTCTGGACCCCAATGCGTCTGGATCTCTAGACTTTCTGCTTATAGACCTCACACACACTGTTTGGGGTCTCTTGCCGGGATAAATCTTTCTTTTTTCTACAGCAACCCTTAGACCGGACCCTTCATTTCAAAAAGTTTGTCGTTATTTTCAGGTAAGGTCGGTGAGGTCGGTATAAACCAAGGCTGTACATGACATGACGAGGACAAATGAAGCTTTCAACAAAGCTATTCCGGGTGATGCCAGTTGTTTTCATTGTTGTTGTTGTTGTTGTTGTTGTTGATAATTTGAGGTGCCACTAGCAGTAGACCAGTTTATATGCCACCAGATAGGGTCCTATATTCATGTTAGTCCAATTCGGACAGAGTCTATGACATCTTTTAATGATACAAAACTCCAGCTAGTGTAGTTTGGCAGCTGGCTGACTACCAGACCCTCGAACACGGTGATGGACTTGGAGCTCGCAAACTGTATACGGCTCAAAATCCCGTCTCAACAAGTTTTTTGAACAAACTCTCTTTCTCATTGATACCGTCTCCTGCTAGGGTACGGGGTAGCAAGAAACTGTAAGAAGTATGTGTGAAAAAAAAGTATGGGCCGTTCCCCCACTCAGGATTTTGCAAAACATGAAAACAAAGAAGAGCAAAGACTGGTGTGCTTCTTCGTGTGTGCTAGCCATAGACGAGTATCACTTGAACGAACATATATACACCTTGTATACCTCATGCAAAGAACTATTGTCATCCGCAAAACACATTCTTCAGAACTGTGCGACTAAGTGCTTTGCCTGTATGAGATCCATGGGGTCCATTCCTTCAGAGCCCTTCCGTGTTCCGTCGCAGAGCCGAGCGTCCACCACTGGGCGAAGGTGTAGGGTGCAGCGACGCGTCTTCGTCTTTGAGCCACAGAGCCAGCGTGACAGTTGACGGTCAGGTGCCCATTGAGCACTCGGAAACGAGATGGTTTCGGTGAAATTCTTTCTTGAACACCCAAAATCCAATGAAGTAGACCCGGATTGAAATTCAAAAGTAGACCCTGACGATCCGAAAAACAGGCCAGGTTCTTGGGAGTCTGCGTTAAACAGCTCACCCACTTACGATATTGCTACATTGCAAATGGTCGCAAAGTGTTCTAAGTTTATCCAAATTTGCTGCTTATTGCTGAGGTGTTTCGATGCAAAACTCTCTTCCAGCTGCATGGACCAACTATGGCAGGACGCATCCATTTCACCAGCGTTCACACATTGGTCTTATGGTCGGAGGCAGCCAAACCACTGCTTCCAACAGAAAAATTCCGAACACCTTCTACTCACAACAGGCCCAGAATCCCGAATGACTGTCATCGGGATTCGGCTGTCACGGGGCCATTGTCTCAGATCATCTCTTCGCTCGATGCCGAAAATGACTTGAACACCTTCATGGTCTGGTGGTCAGCTTCAGCATGAAGTCAGTCCAGTCCCTTCGTGTCTACTTGGCGTAGCCACCAAGGGAAGTGAGCGGGGCTCTGACCAACATCTTTCCAGTATTGGTGCCCTTGAAGAGCCCAAGAATACCTGGCATCATCCGCTGCACACGTTGTAGGAAACCAATTGAGGGCCATAACTTGTAGACAAGGTCCTGTCTCAAAATGAGGCTCAACCAACCTCTGTTTTGAGTCTAGTGTGCACGTAAAAAAGCGGTGACCCCTATCGAGTCCCTAATTGAAGACACTTTGGACAAAACAAATGATGTTGTGTAAAAAACCCTCTATCTTTCCCTATACCAAAACAGATGGGGTTGTTATACTCTCTCAGTCTCTCTCAAATGATGTTGAGCTGAGGGTATCCAAATGTCTCAGCTCGGAGAGAACAATCCGACTCCGACGAATCGGAGGCCACATCTCGAGTCGAAGACAGGAGTAAACATGAGTCAATTTTTTCGATCTCGGGGTCATATATATATTATATATATATTCATATTTTAATGATTTTACAAATTCAAGACTCAAGACACATGCCAAAACAATGTCTTTCATTAACCTTTCCGACGCTGGGGCCTCCACCATGTCTATCCACACCACTCACTCGGAGATCAATTTCGACTCAAATTGCACGTTTGCAAAGTCCAAGTCCACACAGTCATCCCAATATTGTTCGACTCTCTATCATCCTAGACTCCTGGAAATCATCATGGTTTCGTGGATGGCATCACCTGCTTGGTATGAGGATTTTATCATCTTCAAGGGAGCCATGCCATCCACGTAACTCATGATTTCAGGGAGTGTATTTAATATCCTACATCATCCTACATCCAATAATCTTTCGTGGTCTACAGCATTCGTAGGCTCAAAAAATTAAGGCCGCCTTAAATAGTGCGTGAAGAGAACTTCGAAGAACTCATCCAGAGAACAGAAGCCTCCCTATTTCACTAGAACGTCGAAGAACAACAATGAGACGATCGCCTCTGGCCTTTTTTGGTCCGAGCGACCATCCGGTAAATTCTCGAAGCCATCCACAAAGGTGGCGCACTCTTTGATCGTACCGTCCTTCCTATTGGACGGCAGACGGTCGGACGGTGGGTGGATCGCGGGAATCATCGGGAATGTAAACACGAATGGATTAATCTAGGCAGGAACAACTGCGATGAAGCTGAAAACTGGAGAGACTTGGTGAAAACT